TCAAATTTATCATCCTCGGTTTTTGAAAAAATACGAAATTTTCTAAAAACGCACGAGTTTTTGGCTAAAACGAAGTATCATACGAAAACTAAAAAAGTTAGGAGATTCATTTTCATCTTAAAAGTTAGACAAGAGTTTCGCAAATTTATCGATATCCATAACTATAATTATTTGCATTTTTGAATAATTGTAATTTATTATCAAAATTTAAAAATAAGCCGCCGAGTTTACTTTCTACGTATTATTTTCGTATTTTTGTAATGAGTTCTTTATTTAGCTCTAATTTTCTATACAGTATCGTATTTTGTGGACTTTTTGGAAGAAGAAACCATCCAGAGAATATGTCGGGATGATTTTCAACCTTGACAGAATGGCAAAACATAATCTGTAACGTGTAAACTGTATTTTGCCGCCACGCGACCATTGTTGGTCCAGCTAGCTTCCTCAGGGCCGTAGTAACGCGTACGCGTCACCAGAGCCTAATCCATAGATCTCATTTATTATATATATAACGCGTATATATTTTCATATACTTTTTATACTAATCGCAGGAGTATAGAAAATTTCTCCCAATCATTTGTTCTTTAAAACAATTTCGTTATTTAATACAAAGGATTTATCAATATAAAGTTGTTAAAAAATGTACTCAATTGCTTATGAATTTGTAAAAATTTTATAATTGTGATTATGACGCTTTCCCAAACATACTAATATTTAAATGTTATTTAATAACAAGATTTGAAAATCATGCCAAACGTTAAAGTATTATTTAAATATTTTTATTTCTCAGGACATTCTACCATGACATTTTATATGAATCATATAAATCAGTGCAAATACTTTTTTCTAAAATTTCGCGATTTATTAATTAATAATAAATTCTTAATCAATTCAGATCCAAGAAGCATGCAATAAATGTGTTGATCTGATCCTAATAAATTGCTAATATTTACAGTCGTCACTAGTATCTTCTACGAAAGTAGAAGCGTAATCCGTGTCAACACAGTCAGCCAAACTTGGATACAAACATCTTGCCATTCGAGCATTTCTACTCAATCTCTTATTCTCAATCAAAATATTTACATCGTCCACATCATCTAATACCTCATAGTCATACACCATAGTCATTAACGAGCAGCTAACTCTATCTAACCGAGAATAACTCCTTCTTGCACCTATTAAAAATTCTTTTAATAATTCTTGGTATTTAAATTTTTTGAAAAGTAACAGAAAATTATAAAATTTTGTTATTAACATGTAGGTTGTAGTAACTTCGCAAATGCAAAGCTCTGTTTTATATTAAAAATTGAAAATAGGGTTTTTAATTCTTTGATGGCCAAGATCGTGTAATTTAATATTTAATATATAAATGCAAATAATAGAAACAAAGAAAAAATTAATTTTCTAATTTTTATTATAGATTTATATTTACATTTAGAGATTTCTTTTACATATTTTATATAATAGATTTATATTTTTTAATTTGCATAAAAGATTCAGATTTAGATTTAAATATTCTTTTTGATAGTTTATATACTAGATTCAAATTTTTTAATTTTTATAATAAATTTATGGAATATGATAATTACATTTTAGGATAAAATATACATAAGGAATTGAAAAAAAGTTAAGTCGGATTTTAAAAATTAACGGAAATATACTATTTCTTTCTTATAAATGAGAGAAATATATTTTTCAAGATAATTAGTAATTAATGATACTACACATTAATATTACATAATGTATAGTACATTTTCAAAAATATAACAATATATGAAATATTGGAATAAAATAATTCTATTAATTCTTAATTAATTCTATTATACTATACATATATAATGTAATTTTAGTTAAATAATATAATATAATATATCTGTATATTTAACTTAACCGAATACAATTTTATGCCATTTTCCTATAATTTTATAATTTCTCATCCTTCATATATAACTCATTATAACATATTACGATTTGCATATATACAAATGTTCGTTAAAATCGGAATTTTTAGGTTAGTCAATTCTTTTGAAATATAGCGTTCGAAGACTTTTGTGTCGACAATTTACGAACAAAAAAAAATTGATTTTTTCAAAATTTCAAATTGTCCTGACCCCTTAACGAGGAACCTACTGTGTCCAACGCAGAATAGCCTAATCTCCTCGTACTCGAGATATTAACCCTCTACACTCGACGATCTTTTCATTACGGAAACATAGTAATTCGAAGACTTTCTGCCATAAAGTCGAGGATATTTTCAAAACGGTAAATAAGAAGTGCAAATTAATTGTAAGACGTAGAATTATTTTACTTCGACGCTCCACGCACCATTGGATAATTTTAAATTCGATATATTAATTAACGTCGATTCTTAGAATGTGATTAAATAGCGACTGAAAGTTAGGTTAGGTTAGGTCTGTCTAGTGCGAAGGGTTAATTAAGCAAGCAAGAAATATTTCTACGATCATCTGCATCGACAAATATAAAATATTCTGTTCCTAGCAACAAACTCTTTGGTATTTACAATAAAATAAGACAAGAAATCGTATACAAATTAAGACGTAGAATTATTTTACTTTGACACTCCACGCACCATTGGGTAATTTTAAATTTGATATATTAATTAACGTCGATTCTTAGAATCTGATTAAATGGCGACTGAGTGTCGCCTCTCGAGTGCAAAAGGTTAATTGATTCTAAGGTCTATGAGAAGACCTAAGGTCTTTTGTGAGTGGTTTCGATGAATCGGAGGATTCTGGGTTTCAGAAATGCGCTGTGGCCTGATGTACGGAGGCTACAGGACTACCGGGGCTGCGTGGTGGGCTCAACACGTGAGTCTGTTGCTACCCCATTCCCTGCTACCACCCTCGAGGATCCCTAGCCAGCAAACCACACCGGTTGCAAATTGCTCGCCCATTCAACCGGAACCCCTGAACACGTCCAGAGCCAACTCGCCACGGAGATGCACACCGGAGAAGCCGAAGTTCGGTGAGAATTTTAATTAAGAGCGCGGTTTGTGGAGAATTAGCTGGATGAGTGTGGAAGTTGATTCGATAGAAGGCGTGAAAATGGGAGTGTGAGATGAATGGTACTGAATGAGTGGCTATTTTTCTTTGATCCCGTTAGATTCATTTCGGTACTCGTGTCGATCGATTATGACTTAGGTTAATTTAGGTGACGGATGTTTTTCTTCGAATTTTTTATTGGTTTTGGTGGAATATTTGTTTTCATTTTTAATTATTGTTGGTCAAATAGTTATTTGTAATTCTTTTTAATTATTTTTGGGCAAATGTTTATTTTTAATCGCTTTTAATTATTTTTGGTCGAATATTTAGTTTTGATTATTTTTAATTATTGTTGGTCAAATAGTTATTTGTAATTCTTTTTAATTATTTTTGGCCGAATGTTTTGTATATTTTGATTGCTTTTAATTATTGTTGGTCAAATAGTTATTATAGTTCTTTTTAATTATTTTTGGTCAAATATTTAGTTTTGATTACTTTTAATTATCTTTAGTGGAGTATTTGTCTTCGATTAATTTTAATTAATTCTAGCCATTTTTAATTTTTGCGGGAATAATTATTCTAATTATTATTTAGATAAATTTTTTATTCGATTATGTTATTTACGTAAATAATTATTTCTATAAAATGGATACTGTATTTTATTTGTATTATTAATTTATTTATTAATTATGGATTAATTATTAATATAATATAATGTATATAAATAGTCATTATTATTTCGCTTTTGCTTATTTTGGATTGACAGACAGTTTTATCCGTATATGATATTTGGAGCTTGGTTACTGTTTTGTTAATATGTAATAACATTTATTCCTCAATAACGGATATTTTTATAAACATTGTTTATAATAATCTTATTTGATCACTGCATTAATTTACTTGAATACCTTAATCGAAATCTTAATAAAAGTCAAAATCAAAATATAAATGTAGCATAATGCAATTTAAGATCATAGTAACACTGATTTAATTAATCAATCAAATTTGCATTAGTTTATAATTATAATTTCATAATTAATTTACTAAACTAATCGATCAAAATGAAACAAAGATCAAATCACTCTTAATATATCTCCTCGACCGTCTAGAAATAAATTTATCTAAAAATTCCCTAGATAACCGATTTTTACAAAATCTCTCTAGTAATTAATGAAGCGGAACAAAGAATATCATAAACAATTAACCAAAAAATAAACAAAAGTCGACTCGCTCTGGACATAACTCGTCGACCGTTTAAAAATAAATTTATCTCAAAATTCCCTAGATAACCGGTTCTTACAAAATTTCTCTAGTAATTAATAAAGCGGAACAAAGAATATCATAAACAATTAACCAAAAAATAAACAAAAGTCGACTCGCTCTAAACATAACTCGACCGTTTAGAAATAAATTTATTCCAAAATTCCCCAGAAATTCGATTTTTACGAGATTTCTCTGTTACAATCGACGAAGAAGCATAGAAAAACTCGGGGTCCTTGAAAGGGGGGAAACTCGCAGAGTAATTTGGTCGCGAGTGCAGTAAGTGGGCAATATCGATTCCGTTCCACGAGCACTTGGCGAACGCTTATCATCATCGACGTTCTTCGCGTATCGTTATCGGTGGCGTAGAGGAGGTCTGCCATTACACCAATTACGAATTCTTTTCGGTGCTGTACACCGTTTCGATTTCGATAATTGCCGGTGATTATACGGCGAACCTTCTACGCAGGCTGTCGAACGATAACGAATTAGGTTTATACTCATTGTAAGGCAATGCAGGGTTCTCCATCCAATGATATTCGAGGTGTGCTCGCTATGAATTCTTCTTCGCGTTGCCTCTCTACATACTGCCTACTTCGTGACTTGAAATTTGCCTATCCATTGTTTCCCGCTTACCGGGTTCTTGTGTATATATTAATTTAGTATCTGGTTCTTGCGTTTGCTTTATATATATTTATTATATGCATATTATGCAATTGTATGCAATTATATGTATTAAGTATATATTTACTTATCGTATACAGATTAATTGTGAATTTGATTATTGTACATATTTTGGTAATGTTATTATTATGTCAGTAAATAAATATTGATTATATAGGTATCTAGATATTAGTCAGGTATATTAGATTCATGATTAGATACATATACAGATTAATTGTGAATTTGATTACTGTACAAAATTTGGTTATGTATTAATTATATAGGTACCTAGATGGTTATATTATTATATCAGTAAATAAATATTGATTATATAGGTATCTGGATCTTTTTCAGATATATTAGATACATGATTAGATACTTATCTGAAATACAAATAAAGAATAGAAAATTTGTAGTGTTTTGATAATATCATCTGAAACAGTATGAGAAACTAATAAATTTTTATTTCTAATATTTTGTTATATCTGCTGTATGGTGTATTAAAGAGAAGTATATGTGCCGTTACATAGGAAAACACTTAAATGTGTACATGTGTACATAGGTATAGTCAATGAATTAATTATTTACAATATTTCCTGTAGCCACTAATATAACAATTAATAACACTAATATAACAACTCACTAATATCCTAATATCCCAAATATAACTAATATCCCTTGTTAGTTACGTACACATTAGTTATATAATTAGATATATATTTTACATAGAGTTATTACACATATTAATTACATGTTTAATTATTCTACACACGTTGGTTATATACTAATTGTTACTTACATATTAGTAACATGTTAACTGTGTATTTAGTTATTATATGTACAATTATGTGCAGTCAATTATACACTTATATATATATCTACATTTTTCAAGTAATATTTCATATACCTATTACTATAATATTTAATTTTCCTGTTAAATTATGCCATTGCTATTGACCAACCTCTTTGCAACAATTATCAATTGTCAATCATTATACCTCATTATTAACCATAAAATGCTTTTGGGAATATGTGGTGATTTTTCAGTGATCAAAAGAAAGTTTATAAAATTTTCAACATAGTTCTCGTCATATTTAATAATAATCGATACCCTGATATTTTTTCAAATTTTCGAATTGGCATATTTATCCAATTTAGGAAAATAGATACTTTCTGTTTGAATTTTGTCACACTTGAGAGACACTTTAGGGGTTAAAATCAATTATTGTTTATTTACAAGTTGGAATAACAGAAGAAATTTTTTGATCACAATTTTCAGAGGAAGAAGCACCACTGAACTTAAGTACCAAACCTAACGACATCTCGTCTAGAGCGAAATCTGGTCCCCAGGGACGGTGTGCGAGAGAGAAGCAAAGGAAACCAGGATACCATCGACCAGGAGTCCTTCCTCGACACCTGTGATCACTCGGCAAATCCATCATTCACCACTGACACCACCCTCCTCGTCAGAAAGGACATTCCAGGTGAGTTTCTCATGTCAGATTCCTCTTCTTTGAAATTCTGAACATATGTTACACTGAGAATTGTAATTTATTGTTTTACAAATTTTCACTTGTGATAAATTTTCACAGGAATTTTTGTAATAGTTATTGTGTTCGAAGCGAAATAAATATTGGCGAATAAGGTTAATTTTATCCTAAAATAGTGAAAATTTTGGTATTAAGGGAAGTTGCCAAATTATTAATCACAAAAGTATCCTGTTTCATAAGTAAAATTATTATCTATAATTTTTAATTTGGCAATTTATTAATATCGAGGGAGGTCTATCGAAAAATTTTTATTTTATCGAATAGGACTAAGTTTATTTTATTTTTTAAGAAGCCTAGTGATTTGCAAATTAATATTGGAAAATTTTTATTTTTCCGAAAGAAAGGGAGAAATAAATTTGATTTTATTTTACAACAAACCTATGAATAACAAATTAATATTGGTAATTTTTAATTTACAAAAAAAGGAAATAAATTCGTTTAATTTTAGAATAGATGTAATAATTAAAAATTAATATTGGAAAATTTGTATTTCTCCAAAAGAAGGAGAGACATAAATTTTATTTTATTTTACAACAAGCCTATGAATAACAAATTGATATTGGTTATTTTTAATTTTACAAAAAAGGAAATAAATTCACTTTATTTTACAAGAGATATAGTAATTAAAAATTAATATTGGAAAATTTTTATTTCTCCAAACAAAAGAAAGAAAGAAATTTTATTTTATTTTACAACAGACCTATGAATAACAAATTAATATTGGTAAATTTTAATTTTACCCAAAAAGAAATAAATTCGCTTTATTTTATAAGCGTTCTAGTAATTATAAAGTAATATTAAAAAATTTGTATTTGGCCATAAAAATAAATCAAATAAGAAATTGGACGAAAATTAGAATGGTTAAAGAAGACAATACTTAAACAAAACAGAAAAATAGTAGTCTTTCCTTCTCAAATCATCAAATTCTCAACTCGAATCCGTCTTCAAAACGAAAAATGTTATTTTTGCTTCGCACACGTGTTACAAGCCTATAAGCAATAAACTTCGAATTATAAATTAATTCTGGCATGGAAAAGACAATGCCCTTATTTCAAAGTAATCAATATTAAATGAAGAAAGGCAAAAGGGGAGTGCCACCTGATGAAACTGACTCGAATCGCGAAGCGGTAAGGTGGTGGACAGTTTTTCGGAGAACACTGTGGATATCGCTCTAGGAAATCTCTACACGACCTCTGTGTTCTATCCTCGACCAACCGAGTTGATCGTCGAAAACAAATATCGACTATTCGCGTTTTTGTGTGCACGTATAGCGTTCTTTTACGAGCTTCGTAAATACCCTGAGCTTTCACTGGTTCGACACCCTCGACCTCGTAAAATAAATCGCGATCAATCTGAAATGTAGAAAAATAGCCTCAATTTTTGCAAGATTTATACGTTTCCTCGTTCCTTTTCACTTTCTCTTTACTCTAGTTAGAAAAATATTTCGTTCCACAATATTTCAATGTTTAGTTTTTAAATCGTATTAATTCTCGTGTTGCATAAATAGAAATTTGGAAAATTATTTTAAATTATTTTTTAATTTATAGTAATTCATTATTATATTAATAATGGAAGCATAAATAGAAATATTAAATTAATAAAATAATAATGAAATAGTCTCATATAATTTAGAGTAATATTAATTAATAAATTTTAATTTTTGTTTTAATTTAATGAATTAAAAATTTTAATTAAAAAAATTCTTTTGCAGCAAATGCTCGTTTGCAAATATAGGTATTTCAAAATTACCCCTTTTTAATATTTCTCATATCACATCCTCGAAGAAAAAAATTGTTGTCCAAATTAAAAAACATTTTCGAAACTAAAAATACGTTTAACTATCTTTGACTGCGCACTAGAAATTTTCGCATTTCTCATTTTTCAAGTTATGCTATTATCGAACACCTTCGATCTTCCTCCGTTTCAAAGTACATTTTCAAAACGCAAAAACGAGGCCAACTTTATTGACAGTCTTTTTCTGCTTGAATTTATATCTCCATCTACATTGTCGCGTGTCCATCTCACACGTACGCACACTTTCACGCCAATCTCGTCTCGCATCTTTATAGTCATTTTTCTTCCGTTGGACTTCGCCGATTTCGTCGTAGGTGAAGCAAAAATGTGTTATGGCAACAGAGGCTTCGCAGTATCGTTCGAGTTGCATAAACATATTTATTCAATTTAGAAGGACAGCGGTTAAAACACGTTACTTATTCGATAATTATTGTCCGGCAATTAAGCTGACAAAGAAATATACTACGCCTGAATGCTCTAATAAGTTTCGCTGTTCGCTTGTTCCTTGTCGAACCTACGAATCTGAACTATAAATCTGTTTCGTTCGTTTCGTACCGAATACGTAAGTAGATGCAAATGTCTGTCGACTATTCCTTACTAATGTAACGCGAATGAAACCACTTGGACGTTCAGCAAAATGATCCAGTATAGTAGTGTGGGGACACTATTATACACTATACTATACCACTACACTACTATACTTCTATACTACTGCGCTACTATACTACTATACTATGTTACTGCGCTACTATATTACTGCGCTACTGTACTACTATACTACTATACTATGTTGCTACGCTACTATACTACGCTACTATACTACTATACTACGCTACTATACTGTACTACTGCGCTGCTATACTACTATACTGTACTGCCACGCTACTATACTACTATACTATACTACTACTACTTACCCCCACCACCCCACGGGTATTGGTATAATGATCAATTGTTTATTAAGTATCTGTCAATAAAATGACGTAGTCAATAAAGATTAATTAAGTTTAATTGGGATTTAACACGTCAAGTGCCACGCCGGTCCCCAGGGAAAGGGTTGCACTCTCCTTGTAAGTAGCAGAATGTTCATTTCAATCTCTATATTCGTTGATCTAATAAATATCCATCGTTTAATTCTCATCGATCATACGCAAATTCGTTAATGACAGGATACTAGCTTCCTCTGCTATGTGCAACAGGCAAATGGATGAGTATTTCTGTCGATCACTTGACTCTTGACACGCTTTCACGCAAATCAATCCACTTATACCTGCAACAAAGTAGTCTAGTAGTTATCCATACTGTGACGTTTGAGAACTGCGAGTGTCTGAGTGACAGGATGCTTGCTTCGTCTGCTATAGGCAGTGGGCAAGCAAATGGGAGCTTCTATCGATCACTTGTCAACTTCGTTGCAAATCAATCTACTCGTACATGCAACAAAACAATTCGATGCATAGCCACGTAATGGAACATCCGAAGAATTAGAGTGTTCAAGTATGTTCGCTTCGTCTGTCATCTACTAACCTAATATACGCAAGAATCGATCAACAGCGCATTTCTCGTGAGTTTAATACACGCACATCTATCCCCAACGAAGCAGTCCGATACTATTGGACTACGATAGTCCACGTGACATTTGAAGCATGCGAATCGATGGAATATTCACTTCACATTTATTACACACATTAGATCCTTCGTCTCGTGACATGCATAAACTGACGATTAAAATTCTGCAAGAAAAATTTATATTATTATTAACTTCGAATATTCCTTTCCATCGAAGCACCCAGAAGAACCTAACCTAACCTATCACCCAGTAAAAATCCTTCGAATTTTTATTTCTTATGCTCCTTTCTAGCCAAGCACTCGGGAAAAAATCCCACTTTTAGCTTTAAATATCTCTTTCCAGCCAAACAAAGAAGGAAATATCGCCAGCTTTATAGCACTTCACAATCTTTGAACTCCTACTCATCTTTAGCCAAAAGATCGTCGAGTGCAATGGGTTAATATTATTATTATTATTCCTGTCCATGCTCTCACTGGTCAACACTTTGTGGTCCCTTCAGCTGTAAGACGGGTTTTTAACCAAGTCGTAGGCTTGTTCACTATTCTTTTTGGATGACTTTTCTGACTATTGTTGCGATTTTTAGTATTGCTGCTTTTTGTATGTCCTATGTGTAGTTGTGGTTATAAGCCTATTCTTGTTAGGTTTTGTATGAACTTTTTGTATGTAATGCCTCTTGTGGATATAGCGATGGGTACTACTGTGACTGTTTCTTGATTCCACAGTTCCTTTATTTTATTATTATTATTATTATTATTATTATTCATC